AGTCACCCCAGCTATCCCACCAGGACTCCGGTCCCTTTAGGTGAGCATGTTTCTTCCTGCCCAGCAGAAATGTTGGAGGGAGGGGAGGCTGGGGGAGGGGAGGCGAGGGGAGGCTGGCAAAGTGGAAGTGTGTGGGGGGTTGGCTGGGAGGTTATTTCTGTTGCAGGAAGAGAGAGATGCCAGGACAGGCATCGTAGCTGGCAGGGAGATTTTGAGGGCACTTCTTTTCAACCTGATTGAATTGCAGCACTGTAACATCACCAAAATATCACAAACCCCAGTGTCACACAGGTGACTGCTCAGGGAGGGTAGGGGTGTGTAAAACCAAAGTGTGTGGGCTGTTGCTTAGGGGTCACCTCATTACAGCTGTGTGGCTGGCCAGGAGCAGATAGACATCGTAAGATCAACAAAAGTACCAGCTGTGAAGTCTGCAGGCAGATGGCTGAGCCCCTGGTCAGGCCCTGCCCTGGGGTGAAGGCACCTGTATGTGCCATGGGAACCCATGGGACATGGCATGAGAATCTGCAGGATGTGGCAGAGAACCAGGCAAGAAGGGACTCGAGTTACAGGCAGAACCGTGTGTCTCAGCTGGATCCCACAAGTGGTTGAAGAACAGAGACGTGAGAAGAGGCCAAACTGCACAAATACTTGGAGGGGAGCATTGAGGAGCTTCTGGAAAGTCAAGACTTGAAAGGCCATGAATTCCAGGGGAGCCCATCGGTGATGCCATTTAAGGCCCAGATGACCTAGGCAATGATATTCCAACTACCAGATGAGAGAACCCTAGAACGATAGAGTTGTCTGAGTTAGGAGGGACCTTTCAGATCATCGAGTCCAACCATTGACGCAACACCGGCAAAGGCACCACTAAACAATGTCCCTAAATGCTACATCTCCACATGGTTTAAACACCTCCCAGGATGGTGATTTCACTTTTTACCTGGGCAGCCTGTTCCAATGCTTGACAACGTTTTCTGTGAAGCAAATTTTCCTAATGTCCATCCTAAACCTCCCCTAGTGCAACTTGAGGACATTTCCTTTTGTCCTATCACTTGTTCGTTGGGCAAAGAGACTGACCCTCGCCTCGCTACACGCTCCTTTCAGGAGGTAGAGTTGTAGAGAGGAGTAAGGTCTCCCTGAATCCTCCCTTTCTTCAGGCAAAAGAACCCCGTTTCTTTCAGTGGCTCCATTAGACGGTACAAATGGAACAACCTTGAGATCATTAGGGTTAAAGTAATTGGTGACAGTTGTTAATTGGGGAGGGGACTGGAGAGAGAAAGAGAGGGATCCAGGTGGACTGGTATGAAGAAGCCTGTGGATGGGGAGAGAAGAGGGATGCAAGGGCCCAGCTGCACTTTGGCAGGGGCTGCTCAGTGCTGTTCTGTCCAAAACCTGTGCCTCATGCCCATGGTGTGTCCTACCCATCCAACTCTGCTCCTGGCGATTTGCTGTGGGAGTTCCTCACTAGCATGGGGCTCTATGTGTGTGAAGGTACCTACATGCTTTGCTGGCCAACTCCAAGTGGGGCTGGCTGGAAGAGGAGGAAACCAGGATGTGGAGAGTCCCAAGGGGGAAGTTGCAATGTGGGTAACAGCTCTGAGAGTAGGGAGGACACCTGGTCAGACCCAAAACTGAAACCCACACAGGAGGGACTGTGGGGGGGTGTGCCCATGGGTAAGTGCTGCAGAGATGAACACACCACTCGTGACAGGAGCTTTGGAAGAAGAGCCAAAACATCAGTCAGTGCACTGGGGTCATTCCATTTTATTTCAGAAAACCTATGAGAGGGTCAGCTCTGTGCCACTGAAAGATACACTTTGACATGAGATGCAGGTTTGGCAGAGCAGGTTCATTTCTCCAGAGAACCAGGAAGGATTCAGACATTCATGTAGGAAATAAGAATAGAGATAATGATAACAAAAACGACAAAATAGCAAACAAAGGAGAGGAGTGCAACAAGGCACCATCAGAATCATTTCTAAAGAGTGATGGAAAACTTCCCACTATTAAGAACCATCCCAGAAATAAATTTCCTGATGGACTCCTTGAGCTCCTGGTTCCTCATGCTGTAGATGAGGGGGTTAAATACTAGAGGCACAACTGAGTAAAGAACCGCCACCACCAGATCCAAGGATGGGGAGGAGATGAAGGGGGCCTTCAGGTGGGAAAACGTGCCAGTGCTGATAAAGAGGGAGACCACGGCCAGGTGAGGGAGGCACGTGGAAAAGGCTTTGTGCCGTCCCTCCTCAGAGGGGATCCTCAGCACGGCCCTGAAGATCTGCACATAGGACACCAAAATGAAAACAAAGCACAACCAAAATACAAAAGCACTAAACATGCCAAGCCCATCTTCCCTGAGGTAGGACTCTGAGCAGGAGAGCTTGAGGATCCGGGGGACTTCACAGAAGAACTGGTCCAGGACATTGCCCTGGCAGAGGGGCAGTGAAAATGTACTGGCTGTGTGCAGGAGAGCAGTGAGAAACGCAGTGCCCCAGGCAGCTGCTGCCATGTGGACACAAGCTCTGCTGCCCAGGAGGGTCCCGTAGTGCAGGGGTTTGCAGATGGCAACGTAGCGGTCATAGGACATGACAGTGAGAAGAAAATAGTCTGTTGACATAAAGAAGGAAAAGAAAAAGAGCTGGGCAGCACATGCTACATAGGAGATGGCACTGGTGTCCCAGAGGGAGTTGGCCATGGCTTTGGGCACTGTGGTGGAGATGGAGGCCAGGTCAATGACAGCGAGGTTGAGGAGGAAGAAGTACATGGGGGTGTGGAGGCGGTGGTCACAGGCGATGGCAGTGATGATGAGGCCGTTGCCCAGGAGGGCAGCCAGGTAGATGCCCAGGAAGAGCCAGAAGTGCAAGAGCTGCAGCTCCCGTGTGTCTGCGAATGCCAGGAGGAGGAACTGGGTGATGGAGCTGCCGTTGGACATTTGCTGCTTCTGTATATGGACCTGTCCAAGGAGGAAAAGAGACCAACAGTTTAGAGGAGATTCTCTGAGGAAAAAAACATGCTACTTCTCATATAATACACCCTTCTTGAAGTGAATGAGGAAGGAGTAAGCTCTTTCAACATTATTACAAATGGAATGACATGGATCGTCACAGCTTAAAATGCAGCTTGGACACCTATTTTCCATGAAGATACCTCTGGGGCAGGACCCCAAGTTGGTGTCAGAAAGAAAAACTGACTCACTTCCCCATCCCAACCCCTGAGAGCAAGAGCAGCACAGACAGGTGGAGAAACAGGGAAGAACACCACGGTGCTCTGAAAAATTTCAGGCAGGACAGAAAGGCCTAAGGACATGTTGTGAAGCCTTCTCCTTAGCAAGCTTTGCTTGACACTGCTCAGATGGTGACACTGGAGGGAAAGTGCTTTAGAACCTTTTGTGTACCACATTCAAGGAACTTGTCACCGTGACATCCAGCTGTGGAGGCAGCAACTCATGACCCGGACCCTATGGCCATGGGGCCCGAGGCTC